CAATATTATTTTGATAATTTTAGAATGTGTAAAATAGTTGTTGCACCAAAAAGTCTATTAGTTTAGCGTTTTTCTTCATGGATGAGGGCATTCACTTCTTACAGCACAGAAGAAGCCAAAAGTGCTGGAAAATCAAAAGTTTTTAAAAGTTTCCAGAAATAAAATCAAATTTTTTTTTATAGTTTGCGAAACACTAATACATTTAAGATATTTAATATACTTAACAAATGTGATTTTTTGTATTTAATTATATTGTACTCAAATGTTCTAGTACTTAAAGGTTTTATCACTAAACTCTTTTCACATTTTCTTTTTATTTTATTTAAAACTATGTTATTTGTTGGACTAAGCATGCATTTTCCTTATTGTGTTCATTTAAATATTTTTAAATTGTTAAATATGTATACATTGTAATTTGTAAATGCGTATGTTTATTCTGTCATTTCATATATAGATTGTACTCTTGTGTGTTGCAATTTTACTTTTATACTGTAAAATCATATATTTTGGTAGAACAAGCTTTTTGTCTCTTTTTTTATCATCTTCTATTATCACCACAGCGGAATGAACCATCATAATTATTATAAAATTACACACACATATATATATATATATATATATATATATATATATATATATATATATATATGTGTGTGTGTGTGTGAGTATTATTATTATTTTTTTTTACTTACTTTTTATTTTATTTATTTTATTTTTTTAGAATTGATGCTGTTAAATCATTAATTGTTCAAACAAGCATGTGTAATGTTATTTATTTATTTTTGTCCTGTTTTCAATCTGCCACTATGCTGACACACAGGCATTTATAGCTTCGCCCTCTTCTGAAAAGAGCAAAATCTCATTTGACTTCAATGCGACAGTCAACCAAAACGCCACGATTTGTATCAAAGTCTAAAAGTGTCAGCTTCAAAGAGTTATAAAACAATATCTGTGTGGTATTTTGAGCTGAAACTTCACACACTCTAGGAACATCCGAGACTTATTTTACATCTTGCAAAAAGTGACATAGTAGGTTTTTTTAACGAACTAACATTACCAAAAAAGTCGATGCATAATTCTCACCCTGACTAAGACTTCAAAGAATGTCAGCGAAATTAAAGTGAAAATTGCACTGAATATTTTACATGCCAGTACGTGACGAGGCCTTTATTAAGAAGTACAGTATCTGTCATCAGATCTCCGTTGTCTGCAGTCAAACTCGGCGCAGATGATAAACATCAATCTGTTTGCTTTGTGGAGTGTGTGTGATGTGGCGCACTTCATTAATAAAATCAATCTGAAGCTCCGGGCTCAGATCTGATGATGTTACTAGAAGGCGAGATTTTATCGACGGCGCTGTAAAGTCTCGACACCAGCTAATTTCTCTTGCACAAAAAGGCGGCGCGAGTATAACGTCGATAAATAATAGAATACACACTGGAATGAGCCGAGCCCTTCTGGGGCCACTTTTACTGTGACCTAGAAAGACGGCATGCAAAACAGAATACGCACGTGTGTTGGAGAGTAAAATAGGAAGTTTAATTGGATCCGTTGGATTGAGTTTTTCAGCTTTAGCCACAGAGAATTGATCTTAACTGTTTCTATTTTTATGTTTCATCCATTTTTTTTCATTGTTTTGAAATTATGTGAACACACAAAAAAATAATGCACACATTTTTTCCATGTGTTTTTATTGTGAATTGCATTATAGGATGTTAATCTCTACTTTGACGACTTTTGATGTTGAAAATTCAACTCTACAGTTTATCAAAGTGACTTTTACTGACATTTTAGTCGCTTGAAAGTGAAATAAATCTGTAAAATAACCGAAAATGTGCTGGCAGCTTATTATAAAGGTTTTGTAGTGAAATATACAACACTAACCCAGACAATATATAGCTTTAAACTATAAAAAATCATCATAAAAGTAACTTTTTTTAACTTTTTAAGTTGGAAGTAAGATCCAGGTCTCATAATGCAATTCAAAAGCATAAATAAATAGGGAAAAATTCTAAATAAAAACGTGAATCACTTTTACTGTGACCTAGAAAGACGGCATGCAAAACACAATGTGCACAATATGTGTTGTAGAGTAAAATAGGATGTTAAATTGGATACGTTCTGATAGACTTTTTCAGCTTTAGCCACAGAGAATTGATCTTAACGGTTTCTAATTTTATTTTTCATGTATTTTTTTTCAATTATAATGAAATTACGTGAAAAAAAAAATGAATGCACACATTTTTGTTCCATTTATTTATTGTCATGAATTGCATTGCAGCATGTTGATCTCTGCTCTGACGACTTTGATGTTAAAAATTCAACTCTACAGTTTATCAAAGTGACTTTTACTGACATTTTAGTAGTTTGAAAGTGAAATAAATCTGTAAAATAACTGAAAATGTGCTGGCAGCTTATTACAAAGGTTTTGTAGTGAAATATACAACACCAACCCAGACAATATATAGCTTTAAACTATTAAAAATGATCATAAAAGTCACTTTTTTGAACTTTTCAAGGGTAAAATTTATTGGAAGAAAGATCAAGATCTTATGAAGCAATTCAAAAGCATAAATAAATGCGGAACAATTCAAAACAATAATGTGAATCACTTTTACTGACCTAGAAAGACGGCATGCAAAACACAATATGCACAATATGTGTTGTAGAGTTAAACAGGGATTTTAAATGGGCTTGTTTTATGTAGTTTTTCAGCTTTAGCCACACAAAATAGATCAAAACTCTTTCTTTTTTTATTTTTATTTATTTATTTATTTGTTATTTTGAAATTACGTGACAACGAAACATTTAATGTTCAACGTTTTTCAATTTTTTTAAGGTTGTGAATTACATTATGGGATGTGGATCTCTGCTCTGTTGACTTTGGATGTTAAAAATTCAACTCTACAGTTTAACAAAGTGACTTTTATTGACATTTTAGTAGTTTAAAAGTGAAATAAGTTTGTAAAATAACCGAAAATGTGTATACAACTCAGACAATATATCACTTTAAACTATTAAAGAAGATCATTAAAGTTGCTTTTTCTGAACTTTTTAAGGTTTTTCGACTTTTGATGTCGAAAATTTAACTCTACAGTTTAATAAAGTGACTTTTACTGACATTTTAGTAGTTTATAAAAGTGAAATAAGTCTGTGAAATAAGAGAAAATGTGCTGTAAGTTTATTACAAAGGTTTGTGTAGAGTAATAAACAACACCAACCCAGACAATATAGCACTTTAAACTATTATTAATGTTCATAAATGTCACTTTTTCCAAGTTTAAAAGTTGTTGGCAGAAAGATCAAGGTTTTTGACTTCATTGATTTTGCTGTCTTGCTTTTAAAGCCTACAGTTGTTGCATCACTAAGCAATCGGTTGAGTGGATCTTTTAGTAAGTCATTCTGATTTAAGTGAATCATTGTTTTGAATGAATTGTTTTAATGAATACGATTAAAAGAAAGATGGATTGAAATCTCTCCAAAGCGAGATCTGCAGTCTTTAAAAAAATTAATTGATAACAAATATAATATGTTTATTTATTATCAACTATTTTGTTTAATACAAAGTTAAACTTAGTATTTTAATCAGTTTGACTGATGAAAGTTGAGATGACAAGAAATGTTTAATTGAGTGAACAAAAATATTTTAGGCAGCATTATTTATTACAGTGTGTAAAACAAATTGTTGTATTAAAATTACGTGTTGTTAGTGTAATGTTTAATAGCAATTTATCTGATTGTTTTATTTTATGTTATATTTCTATTTTTATTTGTTTAATTTTTGTGTGTGTGTGTATGATTTAACTAAAAACAAACCATGATTTTTAGAGCAGAACATAAAAAATTAAACAAATAAAAATAGAAATATAACATAAAATAAAACAATCAG